GAGAGGAAAGGAGAGAAAGGGAGAGGAATAGAGAAATAGAAACTTCAATGATGAGAAAGAATCATCAATTGGCTGCCTCCTGCAGGCCTCACACTGGGGATCAAGCCTGTAACCCAGGCGTGTGCCCTGTCTGGGAATGGAACCATGACCTCCTGGTTCATAAGTCAATGCTCAATCACTGAGTCATGCTGGTCAGGCTGCTCCTCCTTTATTTACACTAGCTTGTACAGAGACTTGTACTTCTTGACAAGTATAAAGGCCCTTTGTGTTTAAAAAGCATGCGAACACTTTAAGATATCAATCAAATCAAATAATGTTCACAAAAGGACTTTGTAAGCCTCAGGGCAGTGAAGTTTACTAGTTTTATATAAATATTAGTGGTCGGGTGCACGGATTGGTGCACATTGAAAGGAAATTAATTAGGAGAAAGATTTGTGTGGTAATTACATTACTGCAAAAAATTACCTATCAAAATAGTATAATATAGGATTAAAAATTAAAACACATGTGCAGATGATGCCAGCAAGATATTTATATGTATTTTTCATGTGCGAGTCAATGTTTATTTTAAATTGTCAGTGGGTGTCATATATATGGCTGGTCAGTAAGTTAGTTGGATGGATAGATGGTCAGGCACTTAGCCTTTTATATATATAGATTAACAAGTCATCACCTTAAACTAGGTTGAAGACACTGATTATGCCAAGGAATTATGTCAAAACCTTCTTGCCCAAATCATTGTCACCTTGAATTAAATACATTGATCCAGCCAAATATAGATGTTAGACCATATAAAATGATCAAAATTAACAGAGTGACAAATTCATGTGAAAGCATTACCAAATACATAATAGTTTCAAACCATTATGTATCTTCTCAGCTCCTGTCAAGGGGTGGGCAGCTGAGAAATTTGTTTATGTTTTAAAGGATCTTCATCTTTGAACAATGGGAAAATCTGTAAGATAAGATAAAAGACAGGTTTGGTAGGACAGATATCATTAGCTCTATTTATGACAGGTGCTTCCATCTCCCTACCGTCTCTCTCTCTCACAGACACACATACACACACACACACACACACACACACACACACACACACACAGAATCTCTGGGCATGTAGTGGCTGATAAGCAGAAAATCCTTAATGTGCTGCTTCTTATAGAATGCTGGAGTACTCTGGATAAGAGACTGCCTCAGATGTGAACACAGAAAGTCTGTGGTAAGACCATTTCCAGAGGAGAGTCCATTTGCCCAGAGTAACAAGAACAGTTAACACTCGAGAGGCCCCTAGAAGCCTGGCTCATGAGGACCTAGGATAGAAAACCTGTATGAGAAACATGCCCCTCCAGGGACTGTAAATAAGACAGCAAAAGCTAGTAAGAAGTGGGGCTCAGGTTGCTGTAATGAGCCTATAGATGAAGAACATATGTCTACCAACTTCTCTTTTTACAAAATGAAACCCCTTTCTTATTCATTATGACCATCTGATTTGGAAGCTGGATTTGGTTCTGATCTAATGACAAAATGGAGAAATTTAAAAACCATAATGAGATATCATCTATTAGATTGGCTTTTATAAAAAAGACAAGAAATAACAAGAGTCGGTGAAAATATAGAGAAAAGGGAGCCGATAGGCACTGTTGGTGGGAATGTAAATTGGTACAGCCACCAATAAAAAACATTAAGGAAGGTTTCTCAAAAATAGAAAGAACTACCATATGACCCAGTGATTCCACTTCTGGGTATTTATCCAAAGAAAATAAAAACTATGTATCAAAAAGATATCTGCACCCCTATGTTCACTGCAGCATTGTTTATGGAAACAACCTAAATGTCCACTGAAGAATGAATGGATTAAAAAAAATGTGGTTGATACATACAATTAAACCATGAGAAAGAAAAAAAATCCTGCCATTGGTGACAACATGGATAGACCTTGAAATCCTTCTAAGTGAAATAAGTAAGACACAGGAGGACAAATACTGTATGATCTCATTTATATATTGAATTGAAAAAAAAAAGACAAATTCATAGATACAGAGAATAGATTGTTGATTGCAAAGGCAGGGGATGGGGATGGGTGAAATGAGTAAAGGTAAGAAAAAAGAAATTTCCAAAGTCCTTTATTCCATAGACAATGCTAACTCATGAGTTTCCAAAAACACAGTTCAAGCATTCCACTACTCTAAAATATTAATTTCTTCATTCAATACATGTTTACTGAATACTTACTTTATGTCAGGCATTAGGGAGGTTCACCACTGAACAAAAGGCAAAATGTCTTCTCTCCTGGGAGTTATATTCAGAAAATGAGAAGATAAGTAAAACATAGTATCTAAATTCTTTTTTAAAAATAAAGCAAGGAAGAGTGATGGAAAGCACTTTGCAGTGGTTCTCAACCTTTCTAATGCAGTGATCCTTTAATGCATTTCCTCATGGCGACCCACAGGTTGAGATCCGCAAGCAGGGTTTGCCTAAGACAATCGAAAAACACAGATATTTATATTACGATTCATTAACAGTAGCAAAATTACAGTTATGAAGTAGCAACGAAAATAATTTTATGGTTGAGGGTCACCACAACATGAGGAACTGTATTAAAGGGTCACAGCATTAGGAAGGTTGACTTACAATTTTGGAGGCTGAATGTCTTCAAGATCAAGAAATTGGTTGGTTCCTTCAGAAGGATGTGGGGAAGAATGTGCTCTATGCATCTCCCTTAGCTTCTGATGGTTTGTTGTCAATCTCTGGCATTCCTTGGCTTATGGAGGCATCACCCTGACCTCTGCCTTTATCTTCACATGATGCTGTCCCTAAACATGTGCCTCTGTGTTGAGATTTCCCTTTTTGATAAAGATACAGTCACATTGAATTGGGCCCACTCTAATGACCTCCGGTTAACTAGTTACATCTGCAATCACACCACCAACAAACAAGCTCACATTCAACACATGAATTTTTTTTTTGGAGGGGGTGTCACAATTAAAGTCATAACAATTATGATAAGGCCAATAGTGTGACCAGGAGAGTGGAGGTTGATGGAGGTCAAGATCATTAGACAAGAGGCAGTCAAGAGGGTACAAGGCCAATGTATTGAAATGATCTTCTATGTATCTATTGAGTCACAAAGATTATGACAGGAATAGTGTCTGAGGGCATGAGTGTCTCTTCCCTTCAGCTGTCTACAGAATGGAGGTCAATACATTAAAATGTATAAAAAGTAAATACTCAGCAAACTCTCAAAGTCTGAAATATTTTAACATTGAAGTTTAAAATAACATGGAAGTCATATTTTTTATTCTGTCTTCTAAGGGACTTCAAAAATCTTCCATTATCTCTATTATATCATGTTGAAAAAGTGAACCTTAAGACTGTTTCACCTTTCTCAATCCTCTCCACCTAGATTTGACATTCTTGGTAGTGTAAGTGCTGGGAGGCAGTCTTACACAAAAATTAGTGAGGCATCAACTAAAAGGGAACACCCATTTATCAGCCACAATCTGCCTTGGTTCTATGCTGACATCCTTTGAGAAATAACTCATTTCACTATTCCTCAGTAGTGTTCACGCCCATGCCATGAATTCAAATAATTCCTTCCTCAATGGTCCACTCATTCTTTGTTTCAAAAGGCTGTAAATCTTTTTCTCCCACCAGAGGGGTCCCTGAAGACATGCCTAATATTATTTTTTTTTCTCATCCAATTTTCAACTCTGCCATTGTTATACGGTCATCTCCTAGCATTATAGGGAGGTGTGGCAAGCTGTCCAGGGTTATTCATTCTGTTACTGACAACCTTGAGACTGTCTCAGTTTCTGATTTTCATGCCACAGGGACCTAATGACACTGGTGAGGCTGACAATTCCACATTCCCAGATGAATGGGCAAGGCACAAATCAGCTCCTCTCTGGAATACATCACATCTATTAGCACCCCTGCCTGATCTTACCTCTGATTTAACTGATGGCAGTTTGAATAAACAAATAAAAATTTAAGTCTCTGTTTCTTCTCTAAGGTTCTTCCTTCTCTCTAGCTCCTGAGATCTGAGTCTGTTAGAGTGAGGACTGTTGTGGAAGGCAGACTAAAATAGTTCTGTCTGATAAATATCCTTTCTAATCTTTCTATGTTATGCTTTGATTAAAGCTTTTTGTCTTTATGATGGCCAGCTTCCTAGCTGTGGATGTAATTTCCCATTCTCCAATCCACATCTAATTATCTAGTTTTGAATTTTAAAGTTTATTTGCAATATTCAACTATGTAAACTAATTTTTGTATTACTTAAGATTCTGGTTTTGAGTTATGAAAAAAAGCAACTTTCACCAAGTTAAGCTTAAAAGGGAAAAATATTATAAGGATAAAGGTGTATGCCACCCTAATTAGCAGCTACTTCTTATGTCATAATCACAATCATCTATATATATACATATAGAAGCCTAAGCAACCATTCGACCATTCAACGATTTGACCACTTGACTGTTCGACTTGTAGCTTTGACACACACTGACTACCAGAGGGAAGATGCTCAACGCACAGACATGGAAAGATGGAACAAACTGATGAATCTAACAGGGAAGCAGGGAGGGGGGAGGACAGGAAAACATTAGCCAAAGATCTTATATACATACTAGAGACCTGGTGCACGATTCGTGCACTGGTGGGGTCCCTCGGCCTGGCTTGTTGGGATTGGGCTGAAACTGACAGTTTGACATTCCCTGAGGGGTCCTGTATTGCGAGAGGGCGCAGGCCAGGCCTAGGGACTCCACCAGTGCTCAAATCCATGCACCAGACCTCTAGTAATTATTTAGGAAACAAGGGCACTAATTGGAACTATAAAACAGTTAAAATAAGTACCAACCAGTTTTAAGACTCAACCTTGAACAGTATTTTATATATGTTGTTTATATGAAATTATATACATAATTGACTCTGACTTCGATGATAAAGAATCATACTAAAATACTTGTTGTATTACTTTTTCCAAGGAAGAAAGTTGTAGCTGTAATATGAGTGAACAAGTAAATCCACCTGAAATGACCAAAGACTGGAACAAAGAGCGTGTGAAACAATGGGTAACAGAAGATCTTAAGATTGATGAGAAATATGGGCAAATTCTATTCAGTGAAGAAGTGACAGGATTAGTCCTGCAGGAATTAACTGAAAAGGACCTTAGAGACATGGGGCTACCGCGGGGTCCAGCACTTTTGATAAAACGCATGTATGACAGATTGAATAATATTTTCCCTGAAAATCACAATCAGGATTCTGGACAATTAGAGCATACAAAAACCTTCAAAAAACACCAAAAAAAGCCACAACAGACACAAAAAGAAGAACAATCAATGCCATCCAATATTGATCATAATCTTAGAGAAACCAAAGATACCAAAGAACAAGAATCTGTTCTTATAAAAGAAAATGCATTAAATGAAGCAGTGACCACTAAAGACAAACAAAAGGAAAAGCTAAAAGCTGAGCAGTTGACTTGTATGCCATATCCTTTTGATTAGTTCCACAGCAACCATCGTTACATAGAACATTATATTCTTATACAACCTGAAACAGGACCACTCAATCTCATAGACCCAATACATGAGTTCAAATCCCTCACAAATACAGAAACAGCCACAGAAAAGGACATTAAGATGAAATTTAGCAATGAAGTCTTCCGATTTGCATCAGCTTGTATGAATTCACGCACCAATGGCACCATCCATTTTGGTGTCTTGGACAAACCCCATGGTGCCCATGGAGAAATTGTTGGTATGGAAATCACCAGTAAAGATGCCTTCATTGACCACTTCAATATGATGATCAAACATTATTTTGAAGAAAGTGAGATCAATGAAGCCAAGAAGTGCATTCGGGAGCCAAGGTTTGTGGAAGTCCTTCTGCAGAACAACACACCATCTGACAGATTTGTCATTGAAGTAGATGTTATTCCAAAACATTCTGTATGTAAAGAAAAGTATTTCTACATTATGATGCAAAACTGTAAAGATGAAATATGGAAACAAAACAAAGAGGCTTCACTGTTTGTGAGAGATGGAGCTAGCTCTAAGGATATCCTGGCCAATGTCAAGCAACGGGATAAGGTTTTCAAAGAGTTTATAAATGAAATAAAGTCACTAGCAGTATCGAGAAAAGAGGCTGAAGAAGAATATGAAAGGATGTCAAATAGGACGGAGAGTGAAGGACAAAAGCTGGTTAAACTTTTCATAGGAAACCGAGAGTCACTGGATGATTCATACTACAATTGGTACATTCTTGTAACAAATAAATGCTATCCAAACCAAACAAAGAACTTAGATTTTCTAAACGAAATTAAATTGTTTGCTGTTTTGGAGTTTGATCCTGAATCTGAGAGCAAAGGGGTGGCCAAAACTTACAAAAGAAGCAGGTTAGCAAACCTTCACTTCCCAAATCAATATGAGGAAAAGACTACTACTAGAGAGACAATAGAAAGCCTGAATCTTTATGATCAGCCCAGCTGGATTTTCTGCAATGGCAGATCAGACTTCAAAGATGAGAGGTATAAGCCTTTAGAACCACATTTATGGCAGAGAGAAAGAGCTTCTGAAGTCAGGAAACTGATTTTATTTCTCACAGATGAAAATCTAATGACAAGAGGAAAATTTTTGGTAGTGTTTCTATTATTCTCTCTGGTGGAAAGCCCAGGAGATCCACTCATTGAAACCTTCTGTGCTTTCTACCAAGCTCTCAAAGGAATGGAAAATATACTATGTATATGTGCAGACTCACAGATTTATCAACAATGGAAAGATCTACTACGAGCAAGACTGACAATAACAGATGAATTAACAAGCCATAGTATTTCCACTTTAAATTTAGAGTTGATAAACAGTACTATCCTTACACTAAAACCAGTCACTCGTTCATCAAGAAGGTTTTTGCCCTCCCCTGGATCATCTTCTGTTACCCTAGAGAAAAAGGAAGAGGATGTCTTAACTGCACTGGAAATACTCTGTGAAAATGAATGCAAAGACACAGATATTGAGAAAAATAAAGCTAAATTCCAAGAATTTCAGAAAACAAAAGAAGAGCACTTTTATCGAGGTGGCAAAGTATCCTGGTGGAACTTCTATTTTTCTTCTGAAAAATATTCTTTACCCTTTGTCAAAAGAGACAATTACGAAAAGCTTACAGATCTGATACAGGATTATGCAAAGTCTCCTAAACCAACATTTGTAAAAGTTATCAATCTTTATCATCATCCAGGCTGTGGGGGTACTACATTGGCTATGAATGTTCTGTGGGACCTAAAGAAAAAGTTCAGGTGTGCTGTGTTAAAAAACAAAGCAACTGACTTTAAAGAAACTGGAGAACAAGTAATCAAGTTGATTACCTATAAGGCATCTAGCCATCAGGATTATATTCCTGTACTTCTCCTAGTAGATGATTTTGAAGAACAGGAAAATGTCTACATTCTGCAGAATACCATCAATTCCATTTTAGCAGATAAGGGTTTGAGATACGAAAAAACACTGGTAATTATCTTAAACTGTATGAGATCCCAGAATCCTGATAAAAGTGCAAATTTAGCAGATAGTATTGCACTAAAATACCAACTTTCTGACAAGGAACGAAGAGCTTTTGAAGCCAAACTGGAGGAAATTGAAAAGCAACACAACGACTGCGAAAATTTTTATTCCTTCATGATCATGAAAGAAAATTTTGATGAAGAATATATAGAAAAAGTAGTCAGAAATACCCTAAAAGGACTGAATATTGACAGTAAGGAAGCACAACTCATTTCATACCTGGCTCTACTCAACTCTTATGTTACAGACTTTACAATTTCAGTCTCACAGTGTGAAATATTTTTGGGAATCACAGGCACTAGTACACCCTGGAAACCTGAAAGCCTAGAAGACAAGATGGGAACCTATTCCACACTTCTAATAAACACAGAAATGGCAGAATATGGGGCATGTGCAGGCGTGCGCATCATTCACCCTCTGATTGCCAGTTGGTGTCTAAAAGAACTGGAAAGAAGCTATCACTTGGATAAATGTCAAATTGCTTTGAAGGTATTAAAAGAGAATTTATTCTATAATTCTGGAATAGGAAGAGACAAATTTCAACATGACATACAAACTCTTCTGCTTACAAGACAGCGCAAAGAGTATGGAGATGAAATAGACACTTTGTTTTCTCCGTTAATTGAAGCTTTACAGAATGATGAAGTTGAAAGGGTCTTGACTGAAGGAACTCTTCGATTCCCACAAAATGCATTTATTTGCCAGGCCTTAGCAAGACATTTCTACATTAAAGAGAAGAACTTTGACACTGCTCTGGACTGGGCAAGTATGGCCAAAAAGAGAGCACCTAAAAATTCCTATATCTCAGATACACTTGGTCAGGTCTACAAAAATAAAATCAAATGGTGGTTGGATGCAAACAAAAACTGTAGGGATATTACTGTAAATGATCTAACACATTTTCTAGAAGCTGCAGAAAATGCATCAAAAGCTTTCAAAAAATCCCAAGAGCAAACTGATGGGAAAGACTATGAAACTGAGACTTGGTCACCACAGAAGTCCAAAAGAAAATATGAAATGTATAATACAGCTGGTTTCTTGGGTGAAATAGAAGTTGGTCTTTACACTATTCAGATTCTTCAGCTCACTCCCTGTTTCCACAAAGAAAATGCATCATCTAAAAAAATTATGGCAGAATTTTTATCAGGAAAGTGGGATATTCCTACAAAAACAAAAAATGAATATTATTTGGCTCTATCTAAGTTCACTTCCTACTTACAAAATTTACAACCAGATTAGAAAAAGTGCTTTGACTTTTTTACTGATTAGATGGGTCTTTTGAAACCAAGGACTATCCAAAAAGAAAAAGTAGAGATCTCATTAAGCAATAAAATCAGTAGTTGTTTCAGTAAATATAGGGAACATTTCTGCCATGTGGATGTGGGTCCATTACAAAGCAAAGAGAGTCAGTTACTCCAAGAGGAGAATTGCAGGAGAGATATAGAAGCTTTGAAAGCAGATAGTTTTTCTGGACTTCTAGAGTATCTTAATCCAAATCGCAAAGAGGCTGCAATCAATATGGAAAGCATAGTGAACAAATATACTTCCCTCTTTCGGGAAAATCCAAACAAACGGCTGGCAAAGGAGAAACAAAATTTCATTTTGGCCAACATTATTCTCAATTGTCTAAAACCCAATTCCAAGTTTATTCAGCCACTTACCACACTTAAAAAACATCTCAGAGAAGTGTTACAATTTGTAGAACTAAGTCACCAATTCCCAGACCCTTATTTCTTGGCCTGCCTCCTGTTCTGGCCAGAAAATAAAGAGCTAGATGAAGATTCCAAGCTAATGGAAAAGTATGTTTCATCCTTAAATAGAGCCTTCAGTAGACAATACAGGAGCATGTGCAGGTCTAAGCAGCCAAGCACACTTTTCTACCTAGGGAAGAAGAGGGGTCTCAACAGTCTTGTTCACAAGGCTGAGATAGAGAAGTACTTCAGTAAAGAACAAAATAGAAATTCCTTCTGGCAGAGTGGAGATGTGTGGAAAAAAGAGGAAGTCAAAAAGCTCCTGCGCCGTCTCACTGGTCTGGCTGAAGGCAAGAAAATCTCTATTGAATATGGAACAGAGAAAAAAATAAAAATACCAATGACATCTGTTTATTCAGGTCCACTCAGAAGTGGTGGCAACATAGAAAGAGTGTCCTTCTATCTAGGGTTTTCCATTGAAGGCCCTCTAGCATATGACATAGAAGTTATTTAAGAAGATATATTAGCTCAAATATGTTTATTCATATTTCTCTCTGATCTTATTCTCTCTATCCCCATGGCATTTTAATGGCATTATTAGCTTACCTCTGATCATAGATTTTGCTTTCGTTTCCCCCAGTAGATTAAAAGTCTTTGTAGGGCATTAAACATGTCTACACACAGAACTTGGCACACTGTAGAGTGTATTGTTCAATAATTTAAATATTCACTTTCAGACTAACATTTAATTAAGAAGTTTCAATTGATATCCACTGGAGACATCATTATTGGTTGTATGTCAATAAAATCTGTTTAAATTCTATCATGCTTATGAATTTTCTGAATTATGAATTATTCCTTCACTGTGAAAGCAGATGTTAAAATTAGATGAGTATGGAAGAAAAAGCCCCTCCTTAATTTATTGAACTGAAAAACAGAGATCCACACCAGAGTGCCATTTCCTCATGTTGGTATCTCTCAATTCCTTGCTATGGGAGGGGGATGAAAGAAGACAACCAAGTGGCCACCAACTTGAATTCCATCTATCTTCTTGCTTCCATTTGGTACAGATGAAACTGTTTCCCCATTCTTGCATCCTGTCAGCGCAGTCCTAGTTCCACCTGTTCTTTAGATCCCAACTTCCTGGCTTCTTTTTTCATTTACCACCCTCTTTACTTCTCAGCCTCTGCTATATGAATGCTGTTTTCTCTGTCAAATAATTCCTTGTTTTCACCCAACGTTTTCAGAATGTGGCTATTGTAATTTCTCCATCACACTCAGTTAAAGTAACCAACCACCAAGAAGTCTTCCCTGACCACTGTAATCCCTGCCTGATTAGGTAACTTCCTCGTGGCAATATGTGCTCTCAGCTTTCCTGCTGGGAATGCCATCTCCAGAAGCTTGTTCCTAGACTTAACACCAGCCAGAAAAGCCACAAACAGCTTAGAGGCTCATATTTTGAGAGATATCTATTGCCTAGGAAGTGAAACACATGATAATGTAGATGAAACGGAATACTTAACAAATATTGTATATATTTATTTATCCATTACTTTATATCCCCTATAACATAACTTAGAAATCATAGGCTTTAGACCCAATTCCTCTTGTCATCAAGATGTCTATTTCCTTTCAGGGTTCTTTTCACTAGTTTCTATGAATCTTTGGGGAATATTCAGATTCTCCATGAATAGGTCCCTGTTGTTAGAAGCCACATCTACGGCTGAACCTGCTCCAAATTGCTGCTTCCCTCTTCTGCAGCCCACCTGCCCATTTGGTAGCAGGCTCTCCCAAGTGGCTACCCGCCCCAAAGTGCTCACTGGCCAGTCCCTTCATCCTTCATAACTCAGCTAAGACTGGGTCACAGTATTCATTACACTTAACTAAAGGCTTGACATAAGAGGAAAAAAGTTATAATAAAAGGAAGAAACCTGTTACATATTCCTGTCATCCTTGACTACCCCCAGAGTTTATAGGCCCAGCTCCTGTACAAGGTTTTTCAAGGGGCTTCCCTCTCCTCAGCACCTCTTTCAATAACCATGTTGTAGGGTAGCCCTTGCTCAATTCTCCCAGGTAAGACAACCCTTAAATACCAACTGTTGACTCAGATATTAGGCTATAGACTCTCTAAGGTCCCCTGAAAGAATTATGTTTTGTTTTGTTTTTTTCTGAAAAGAAATATAAAATGCAGAGATGTCACCCCACCCACAATCAGGACAAGGTATTACATTATTGTGCAGAGAAGTTCAACTCCACTTTTCAGAAGAGATTCTTTACTCTTGTAGAATCAAAGAGCCCTTTGAAATGCTTTCCCCAAAACAAATGCTCAGTCTGTCTTCAAAGGTGAATTTGTATTCTATCTACAGGAAATTTTAGTCTTAAATTCCATTGCTGTCATCTATATTTCAAAAATAATGGGGTGCAATTTCTGCTCAGGAAAGTCCATCAAAAATAAAAACAGCCAAAACTGGTTTGGCTCAGTGGATAGAGCATCGGCCTGCAGACTGGAAGGTCCCAGGTTCGATTCCGGTCAAAGGCATGCACACGAGGCAGCTGGTTGATGTTTCTCTGTCATCGATGTTCCTAGCTCTCTATCCTTCTCCTTTCCTCTCTGTAAAAAATCAATAAAATATATTGTTTAAAAAGTTAATTTAAGCCGAAACCGGTTTGGCTGAGTGGTAGAGCGTCGGTCTGCGGACTGAAAGGTCCCGGGTTCGATTCCGGTCAGGGGCATGTACCTTGGTTGCGGGCACATCCCCGGTGGGGGGTGTGCAAGAGGCAGCTGGTCAATGTTTCTCTCTCATCAACGTTTCTAGCTTTCTATCTCTCTCCCTTCCTCTCTGTAAAAAATCAATAAAATATATTTAAAAAATAAAATAAAATAAAATAAATTAATTTAAAATTTTAGCTGATTCTTTTTCTTTTAAAAAATATTTTTATTGATTTCAGAGAGAAAGGGAGAGGGAAATAGAGATAGAAACATCATTGATGAGAAAAAATCCTGATCCACTGCCTCTGGCATGCCCCTAAATAGGGATCGAGCCCACAACTGCAACCTGGGCATATCCCCAAAAGGGGGAATCAAACCGGTGATCTCCTGGTTCAGTTGCTGAGCCACACCTGGCTATGCACTGATTCTTTTCTTCAAACACCATCACCTTTCTCTCCTCTCGATAGATAGATAGATAGATAGATGATAGATAGATAGATAGATAGATAGATAGATAGATAGATAGAGATAGAGAGATATAGATAGATAGATAGATATAGATATAGATATAGATATAGATATAGATATAGATATAGATATAGATATAGATATAGATATAGATATAGATCCTCTTTCCTTCTCTCTTTCTTTGAATTGCCTTTGAGGAAAACAAAGTATAAAAAGAAATTGTTGGACTAAGTATTTGTGATACTGCGTGCTAATTCCACCACTTTTTTCCCTCAACTAACTACTCATGAAGACTCAGTACCCTCAGGTTATTTGCAGCTTGCTCAGGACTCCACCTATTCCATAAATCATCAGCTCTACTCACATAGGTAAATTAACTCACAACTGATAATAGCACAACAAATGGTTGCCCCAGTAGGTCTTATAATTTGGAAACAGGGTAAACTAATGGGAAACATTCATACTTTAAAAATAGACAGGCTTACAGTACACGCCAAACTGTAAGAGTCATTCATCTGACCAGTATACATAGGTAAGTTAGAACTCTGGTTTTCTCATTTGCAAGATGAAGAAAATAAATTTGATTTGCAAGCATTTGATGAGGATTAAACTGGATAGCATACCTCACATGTCTGAAACTCAGAAGGCTCTTATTAGGAAGCAAATTTAAACATCTTTATTGAGATAACTCACATACCATAAAATTATCCCATTTAAAGTACATAATTCAGCCCTGGCTGGTTTGCCTCAGAGGGTCATGGATTTGTACCTCAGCTGAGGGTTCAACCTCCGCCCCCAGTCAGGGCACATGTAGGAGGCAACCAATCAATGTTCCTCTGTTATGTTGTCATCGATTTGCTGTTGTTTTTTTCTCTCTCTCCCCGACTTTTCCCTCCCTTCCATTCTATCTGAAAATTAATGGGAAAAATATCCTAGCTTGAGAATTTAAAAAAAAAATTAAGTGCACAATTCAATATCTGCTAGTATATCATTAGCAACCTCAGCACAATCAATTTTAGAACACTCTCATCAACCCAAAAGAAACCATGCACCCACAGCACTCAATAACGATTCACCCCTTCCTCTAACTCCTGGCAAGAAGTCTCTATGGATTTGCCTATTCTGGACATTTCATATAATTGGAGTCATACAATATGTGGTCTTTCATGAATGGCTTTGCATAATGTTTTCAAGTTCCATTCATGTCATATCATGTATCAATTCTTCATTCCTTTTTATTGTCACATAAATTTTCATTGTATAAATAGACCACGTTTTGTTTAGAATTAAAGACAATTTACTTTTATAAAATTCTAAATAAATAGTTTTATTGATCTAAGAAGGGTGTATTTTACCAACTTTGCTTGAATTTAAACACTGTGTTGCTCCATTTCAGTCTTTGGTTAAAGGGACTTAGTCACTGATACTCTAATTCAAGCCCCTTCCCCTAACTACACAGCCTTCATTTTCTCACACTATATTGTGTACTCATTTTCAAACACTCATCCTCATATACAGGTATATTGCATTACATCAATTTATATGCTTTTAATTAAAAACAGTATTTCTTCAATAGTTAGAAAACTAATTATCACTAGTAAATATCTGGTAATAGGGAACAGAACAATTAGATAAAAACATAACAAAACATACGGGTAGTTATTTTAATAAAGTAGGAGGTATCTCAATTTCAAACTGTATTACAAAGCCACTGTAGTCTTCATTCTCAGAATTGCTGTGGCTATTCAGGGTCTTTTTTTGTTCCAGATGAATTTTTGGAGAGTTCTTTCTAGGTCTGTGAAATATTAATATGCCGTTGGTATTTTAATGGGGAGTGCATTGAACCTATAAATTGCTTTGGGGAGTATGGATATTTTGATGATGTTGATTCTACCAATCCATGAACATGGTATGTTCTTCCATCTGTTTACATCTTCCTCTATCTCTTTTTTCAATGTTGTGTAGTTTTCCATGTATAGGTCTTTTACCTCATTAGTTAAGTTTATTCCTAATTATCTTAATTTTTTTGGTGTGATGGTAAATGAGATTGCTTTTTTAGACTCTGTTTCTATAAGTTCACTATTGGTGTATAGAAATGCCATAGATTTCTTGGCGTTAATTTTGTATCCTGCTACATTGCCAAATTCATTTATTAAGTCAATTAGTTTTTTGATGGAGTCTTTTGGTTTTTTTATGTACAATATCATGTCATCTGCAAATAAGGACAATTTTATTTATTCTTTTCCAGTTTGGATGCCTTTTATTTCTTCTTCCTGTCTAATTGCAATGGCTAGTGCTTCCAGTACTATGTCAAACAGGAGTGGTGTGAGTGGGTA